ATGACCTACCTGTGTGTCTGCGCATGTAGTAGTCAGTACACAGGCCCATCAAGCAGGCAGAACCTATTACAACCTGCTATTACTGCCATGGCCACAAGCCCTTCAAACTAGATAAAGATAGTTCTGCACAAAAATCATTTCAATAAGGTTGTTGAAAGCAGTATTTCAAAGATCTTTTTAATTCTGTATCGACACCAAACAACATCATTTCCTGATTTCCTGCTATGCACAGGCATGACAAACAGCCTGTTCCGGGAAGACTACCTAGTTTAAAATTGAGGATTTCAATAAGCTAAATGAATTAAACTAAAACAAATTTCCTGACACTAGCACTATTGTTAAGATTCTGACTTCTCTCTTCTATCATTCAAAATAACAAAATGCACTTTTCAGGGAAGCTAACTGTTGATAAAGAATGACCTGTGAAAACTGAATGTATGCAATTCACAAGTTACAGGAGAGCAATGTGTGCTTTTCATAAGACAACCACCATAGTTTATTTACTGGGTAAATGTAACTTGGGTGTAAAACAAGGGAAGTAGAAAGTTGTTGGCAATTAAAAACCAAAATCAGGTGAGAAAAACTGGTTGTGCACTGACACACTCGCTGAGTTACGAGTCAAGATGATGACACAACCACAGAGAACCACGGAGATGAGCCGCCTTTATTATAGGGCTTTGAACAAAGGAAAAACAAGTAAACCCTGGGCTCAAGAGCAGATTACTAAGTCCAAAGATGTTCCACAAAGGCCCTGAGCAGGCACAAAATAAGCATTCCTTCCATTATTCAACTGTATATAGCATATTAACAAAGAAACTAACATTCTTCATTAACCTAGGTCAAATATTGCTGCATTTAGTCAGTAATAAATCTCAACCCAGAAGTCTCAACTCCAGGATAAGTCCTTGATTGGAAAATTATGCCAATTCCTTTAACTGTTTCCCCTCCCACCAGTTTGATAACATCCCACAAATGAAAATCATGTCTGACAAGTCACTTTTTAACTAGGGTAATACAAAATCAAGATGCAAAATCACCTCAGAATGTTTTCACAAGATAAACCAAGGCCCGCCCAACAGTAGCTGAATCAGAATTCCCAAGTATGGGACCCAAGTTCCTGCCATTTGACAAAGCTCCAGGTGACTTTATTGCAGAGCACCACACAAATTCAAAAGTACTGGTCTAACAAAGAACTGATGACAGTCCTCATTCAGGCTGATGACATCTGAATCAGTGTAATTACAGACAACTAAGGAGGCCAAAGAGCAATATACCTCATTCACACAGAAAGTCTACAGACTACAGCACAGACTTCTGGAAGACAAGGGTGAGGCGGCGGGTGGGGTGGTCTTCATTCGTTATCACTATAGACCTACCACTTGTTATAACTGTATTTATATTTACAACACCCTCCAGTATACAATACTTTACACATACTATCTCATCTCGTCCTCACGTCAACCATCTGAGGGATAGGCCTGTTTTTTCTACTGTACTCTGAAGAAAAGTAAGTGTGAATCCCAAAGTCAGGTAACTTGTTTAAGGCCATACAGCAAGAAGGTAAGGAGCCCAGATACAAACCCAGATGCCAGAGCTGTACCCCGATACCCAAGGGTTCATGATTTGTTTACTAAAATACTCATTCTGCTTTCACTCATTCATAATAAGCATGCACTACTTTCATAATTAAGGAAAATGTTCTTTTGCTGCAGTCACTGTAAAGTGACTTTCCCACAGATTTTCCCATAATGTGACAATCAGCTTTTTAGAAAAAAATTAAGCTGAATTCCTGCGTGACAAACTAAAATCCCAAATAAGTCCCAGATGAATCTGAGAGGTAATTGTGATAAATGAAAACACAAAAAGAACAAAAGGAAAACATAAATGAAATTTCACCTCAAGATAAGTTCAGCCACTTGTACTGGAATCCAGGCAAAAATGGAATCCGTGAAAGAAAAGTTCAACAAACTTAATGACAAAGGGATCAAAGGCTTCTAATATTTGTTTATTTTTTAAAGTTGTGATTCAGTGAAGAGACTGGGGGAGGCATTTACAACACAGCATTACTTTAATAGAAGCAAAGGCAACACTGTAGTAGCAAAAGGAAATAAACAGGAAGCTACACAAAAAGAAGGAGCCCAAAGGCTTAACATTTTTCAATATTTAATCATCCCAGAAATCAAGGAAATGTATCTTTAAAACAGGACACAGTGACATTTTCCACCTATAAATCAGCAAAGGACAGTAAGATTATAGTATGTGGCACCAACCAGGATCAAGGCAAACATCCCCACACCCCCAGTGCTAGAAGCAGGTACCGACTCTCCTTTCTGGAACACAGTTAGGCCTGAAGCAATAGAAGCCCTGAAACCTGGCTTCACTGACTCTTCAATTTCACTTCCAGAAGTTATTTGTAAGAAAGAGTCGAGAATGAGAACCGAGACAACTCTGAGAATGTCCACGATGTAGACTACTTACTATAATAAAGTACAGGACACCTCCGCACCCTGCTGGCAGCTACAGTGACAGGTACACTGATGTTGTATTAGTAGGAAAGTAAACCGAAATTTTCCATCTGGAACAAGTCCATAAAGTATTCACATCTTTGACTCAGCAATTTCACTTTCTAGGGAATGCATTCTATGTGAGCAAAGATTTGTACTGTAAAGATGCAATCACCAAGCATTCAACAGAAAAAGCTATAAATTAAATGTCCAAGATTAGGAGGAAGGTTAAATATTAAGTATGATTAAGTCCATGTCATTAATATGATTATTAATAAGCTTTTCAATCAGTTTCAATCAAACAGGGAAATATTCACAATATAACTGTGAAAAATACAGCTTCCACAGTATGGGAGGAGGAGGTGTAAAAACAGGTTTTTTTTTTTAATAAGATCTTCAGATGGATTTTGCTGAAGAATATTTTCCAGAACAGTTAACTTGATGTGCAAGTGCCTAGAGCATAAACTAATTTCTCTAAGAGTTTCCATTTCTCAAGACAATAGGATTTTCACCTTATGCTATGGAGGCATACAATTCATATCATTAGGGCTCCAGGTCTCCCTAAATAAGACAGAAAACTCAAAACTCATAACTGCTTAGCAGTTTGCTAAGCACGACCTAAATCATGCTTTATGACTTGGGCATCCAACTTCAATCTTCATGGCTGAATTCAACTTGAGACTCCAATTCTGTCATCCTTTTATAACTAACTATCTTTAAGAGTCATCAGGACCCCTAACTTCACAATTCCAATCTTTCTTGACTCAAATGCTTCTTATCCTATTTTAACCCATAAAGTAAAGGGGTGACTGCATGCGTGTGCATGCTCAGTCGTGTCCGACTCTCTGTAACCCCATGGACTGTAGCCCACCAGGCTCCTCTGTCCATGGGATTTCCCAGGCAGGAATACTGGAGTGGGTTGCCATTCCCTTCTCCAGGGGATCTTCACAACCCAGGGATCAAACCCCTGTATCTGACATCTCCTGCATTGACAGGCGGGTCCTTTACCACTAGCACCAAAAAAAGGGTCAACTATATGACTTCAAAGATCCTTTTAGATTCTGAGACCCCACTGACTTACAACTGCCTTGCACACAGAAAGCACATACATACTGGTTTCACTGGGGGAGAAATAATACCAAATTATAAACTCAAGGTAGCAAGGCCATCCCCAAGACCTCCTTTTGTTTCACCTCCAAAATGTCAAGCATAATGCTTTAAGACCTCCCCTTAATTTTCCACTGTGATAATAATAATTTAGGGTCCTCATCAACTATTTTCTCCATTTTATGCCACAATTTTTTTTTTATATTTTATAGCTCCGCTTCAGAAACAAAGGAAGTCACACTGGGAAAAGTCAAGGTTGGAAAAAACCCAAGATACAGAAAAAGATTTTATCAGTCTGGAATATCTAAGTACATTTAAAGGCAATAAAGGTAGAGTTGAGCACTTGGATCTCAAAACTACAGGGAAATAATTTAGTTTAACAACAGCATGTACACACACAGAGCTGTGATTTCAGTGAGAATTAGTATCATTTCAGTGAGTCTACCTAATGGGAAGGAAATCCAGAAAAGAGGAGTGTATGTATAAACATAGCTGATCCACTCTGTTGTATAACAGAAACTAACTCAACAGTGTAAAGCAACTATACTCCAATTAAAAAAATTATATATATACTAATATGTAAGACTGATTAGGGAAAAAAAATTATCACCTATTTTTTTTTGGTCTTTTTTTTTTTTAACAAAGTATGTCAAAAACAGAAGAGTAAGTGTCCCCCCACTCTGTCCTCTGTTAGATGACACTGTATACTGAATACCGTATGCTGCACTGAGGACCACACGTTAAGAGGGACTTCAACAAAGTGAATGCAGGACAGAGGGCTAAGAAATGGGTCAGGGGATTTGAAACTGTCAAATAAGAAACATCTGAAGGGAACGAGGATCGATAGTCTATGGACTAGAAGACCCAGGAAACAGGACGGTGATCTCAATGACCACAGGAGCCTCGAGAGTGAAGTTTATACAAGACTGAAGCTGGCAGGCAGAGACTTTAGCAAAATGGACAGGATATTTGGCATCTAAAAGAGACTGCATGCTAACTCGCTTCAGTCATGTCCAACCCTTTGGGACCCTATGGACCACAGCCCACCAGGCTCCTCTGTCCATGGGATTCTCCAGGCAAAAACATTGGAGTGGGCTGCCATACCTCCCTCCGGGGGATCTTTCCAACCCAGGGATGGAACCTGCATCTCTTACATCTCCTGCACTGGCAGGTGGGTTCTTTACCACTAGCACCACCTAAGTAGGCCCTAAAGGAGATTACTATCATCAGAAATGTGAACTCTACAACACTGAAGCTTCTTTTTCTGATGAAAACCAGAAATAAGAGATTTTCATGTGAAATCTCCCAATTTCTAAGAGCTGGCACCCAATGTAAGACTTGATATAAGTTGGGCAGACCAATTATACGTGCACAGGCCTTTTCTGATCCATGCACACCAACCTGCAACTCATGTCTGGGAAACACGATGGCTATCTTCTAGCATCTGAAGAACTGTCAGAGGGAAAAGAAACAGACTTGTTCTACACAGCCCTGAAAGGTGACACTCCCAGAGAGGCCAACTGCAGCTTGGGAAGGACAAACGTCCTAAAAACTAGTCTGCGAATTAGAATGGGTGGCCCAGGGGGTTCGCATCACTGTAAGGATTCAAAGAGGAACAGGTCAGTAATTCTGCCTTCTAGTACATCTTCTGGTCAAATAACTGAAAGCCCATCCCTCAACCCCCCACGCCTCGGTTTTCTTTCCTACCTTCCTTCCCCTTCACAAAAGGGAATATTGGGTCTTCCCCAGTGGCTCAGAGAATCCGCCTGCCAATGCAGGACTCACAGGTTTAACCCCTGGTCCAGGAAAATCCCACATGTCGCAGAGTAACTAAGCCCGTGCTCTGGAGCTCATGCTCTGCAACAAGCAAAGCCTCCGCAATGAGAAGCCCACACACTGCAACACAGAGTATCCCCAACTCACTGAAACTAGAGAAAAGCCTGTGTAGCAATGAAGATCCAGCACAGGCAAAAAAAATAATTTTTTTTTAAAAAAGGAATATTCTAACACTTAGCCTCCTATCTCTCAGGGTTACTATAAAGATCAAAATCTATGTGAGAAACAATATATGAAAGTATGACATGGTTGTCAAGGACTATAGTAATTTAAGACATTATAGTAATCTACCATCATCACGTATTTATGTATGTCTAACCTCTCCTACTATACAGATGAAGGGCATATTTCAAATCTAATTCATAATTTTTTTATTCCTCCCTCAGTAGCAAATCTTTGTTGAAAAAACATTTTAAAAAGAGGTTGGAGGAAGAGGGTTAAAATAATGACAAATATAAGAGAATAAGAAAACAAACAGTCAACAAAGCAAACATCCAGGAGGTTAATCATTAATATCACTCACTGGTCAGTCTAAAAGGTACTGGGCCCCGTCAAACAGAGGAATATACAAAAGCAGTAATGTGTGTGAAGGGGTGATGCTCGCAGGTAGGCACTGGCAAACCACAGCTAGGTGTCTGTTCTGTAAATCGAGGTACACTGGATCATTCACTTATGGACAGCACATGTGTACTGCTGCATGCACACACTGCATATATGTCCTATAAGTCTATTTCACTCTACAAAAGCAAAGCTTAACAGTTTCTAAAATACTCTCTATTTGGCCGTTTACAGAAAAAGTTTGCCTACTTTTCTGTAGAAGTACTCCGGGGTTACAAACCACAAAGGTTGCTGGATGCCGAGACATAGTTCATCTTCCCACGGCTCCATCCTGTGTTTTATGGGTCATCTGGGGGACGTGTGAGCAAAATCCTATACTGAAAATTACAGCCTAAGTGCAGAGAAGGTAAATATGTCACCAAGTGAGGTCTTCATATTCCTCTGATACACCCAGGATTATAAAAAGTTTAATACTGCTTCTCTTCCATCTAGTAATATCACCAAGAACTCCAAGTGTACAAGGAGTGTGGGACCAGTTCAGGCACGAAAAGATCACGCTTACCAGAGAGTCTACCCGTCCCCCATGAGTTCTCGAACTCCATCTGCCTGAGCTCCCCTATTTTCAAGGAACCTACAAATACATGAAAAATCCTTTCTTCTTACTTAGTTACCCTATCATTACATGTTTTCGAAAGAACAGCTGCGAAAATTAAGAGGAAAGAAAAATAGGGTGAAGATAAATATGTTAACAGAAGTTTGCTGAGCTAAATTTAATGTCCAGCAGAAATTAGTCCACAGGTTTATGGCTTTATGAAAGGTTTATTATATTCCTTGCCTCACTCTGAAGTAATTATATGCAAAGACATTCAAATCTCTACCAATAGAGAAACCTTCATTTTTCTCCTAATACCTGAATCTCCTTCTGCTTTAGGCAGTACTTCTAACTCTCCCTCCCGGGGAACCACTATGTGGTCCCAGATGTGATTTACGTAAGACGACTCTTAAGTATTTCTCCCTCCAGTTTAGGTAGCTTCATTTTTGAAGGCTGGGCTTCCCATGTAGTTTTTGCTTTTTTTTTAAATCTATGCCTTGTGGTCATGCAGACAGCATGTCCCCCAGGGTTCGCTCAGCCAATGCCTTGTGCTCTGCTTCAGTTATTCTAACTGTACTGAGCGGCTGGGATGGTAACCTGGGCGATCCTGATAGTCTTTCCAGTTCATGCCTCAGTTAGGGACCCTGCTACTCGGCACAGCTTACCGAAGCCCAGGCCCCACTCCTGCATCACCCTTCAGAGATTTCACTCAACAGCTAGCCTAAAGCCCTGAGGAAAAGGGCAGCTCCTTATCTAATCCCCACAACATTCTTCCCATGGCTTCAAGCCATCCATTCAACCTCCTCCTTCTCAGGCTTAACTCTACCCCTGACTCATTTCTCTCTATCCTGTTTGCACAAAGCCTTTCCTCTTCACAGGTTAAAGCTCTGAAGTCTAATGACAAAAAGATTCCAACTACACACAGAACATTAAATGCCAGAATTTTTCCCCTTTGATAAAGCAAGGGGTGGGAACCTGAAGACGCAAACTGGTGAATCATTTATCTAGTAGATATGTCCCTGAGAGCAGCAGCTACATCTTGAAGTATTAAATAAACCATGTTTTCAGTGTTCTGATCTACAATTCTAACCCTCTTCCAGAAAGCACTCAGACTAGGTTCCCCCATACTTCTGATTACTTCTGACTCCTCAGGCTCCCCACAGGAAAAAACGGTATTTTCAATGAACCAAGGAACAGTTTAAAAAGCTGGGTCTTCTTTCTTTTAAAGCCCCCCGCTAAAAGTTGCTGAGAACGCTGAGCTCCACTCAAAAGACTATCAGGATCTCCCAGGTTACCATCCCAGCCGCTCAGTAGAGTTGGAATAACTGAACCAGAGCGCAAGACATTGGCTGAGCAAAACCGGGGGGGGGGGAAATGCAGTCTGTGTGGCCACATCGCACAGATTTAAAAAAAAATAAACTTGGGAAGCCAAGCCTTCAAAAATGAAGCTACCTAAACTGGAGGGTGAACTAATACTTTAGACTTCTTAAGTAAATCACATATGGGAAAAAAGGACAAGGGTCTGTTCCTCCTCCGAAGACGTGGAACTTGGGGCTTGATGAAGCCCCTTCGAATTTTTGAAAAGAAAAGACAGGGGAAGAATCCACCGAAGTCAAGTCTTTTGAGAGCCACGAATAACAATGGCTCAAGCGGTAGAGAAAAGAAACAGCCTCTCTGCAGTCTGGCAGCCCTGCCGGGCTTCCAAAGCGCTTCGGATTCACACTGCACCCTGACGCGCGCTCGGTTAACTCTGCTAAGATTTCAGCCGTGCAGACGCGCTCTCCGCAGCCCCTCTCCCGCCTGAGCAGCGCTAGGCCCATCACTAGAGAGCCTGGGTACCAGAGCCCCAGATGCACAGAAGAGGAGCACCTGGACCCTTCCTTGGGCAGGAAGTGGCTATTCTGATTGCGGGCTCCTCGTGAAAGGAGGTGAGCTGGGTGAAAAGAGGCCAAGGAAGAGCAGCTGCAGGCGGCTGTGTCTGAATGCAGCGGAAAGCAGATGTGGAAGTGTGTGCGCGCTCGGAACGGGGGTGGGGGCGGGCCGGATGCCCCTTCGTGGACCGAAGATGCTCTACATAAGCAGCTGGACAAACACAGGGGGGCAAAGGATGGGGGAGGACTTTCGGATGCAGAAGTGGCTGCACGGCTGAGGCTGAGCCTTTAGAAAAAGGGGTGGAGGTGGGTGCGAGGTAACCAGGGCTCTAGGGGGCGTGTGGGGGTGGGGAGGTCGCATTTAGAGCTCCCTATACCCCCAGGGTGGGGCCCGTTACCGGTTATCCTCCTCACTGGTGGCTAAGGCCCTGGAGGTCTCTCCCGGGCCCCCGAGACGTCTGGCAAGGCCTACTCCGAGGCTGCACGCCCCCGTCACCGCAGGGCAGCAGCCTCCCCCCCGGTTCCCGCGACCCCAGAGCAGCCAGACCCGGTCCAGCCCGGTGCCCGGCTCTCGCGGCCGGCCCCGGGGTCCCTACCACGAACCTCTTCCGGACCACCACCCCGGCTCCTCGGGGCTCCCCCCGCCGCCAGGAGTCCTACCGGCTTTCAGTTCAGGGACGAGCCGCTGCTGCCTGCGCGAGAGTCGGGTTCCCAAAAGCCGCTCTCGCCGCCTGCAGCCCGCCTTCCAGGCCGCGCCGGATCCTCCGCTCCCCCTGCTGGCGAGCAGCCATTTCCGACCTGTACCGGCGGAACTTGCCGAAGTGCGCAGTGCCGGAAATGGCCGAACCCCGGGGCTGGCGAGCCTGAAGTCCGGGGAGGGGGAGGGGAAGGGGGAGGGGAGGGGAATGGGGAGGGAGGGGGAGGGCAGAAGGGGCGGGGCGAAGGCTTCCCCGGCTCCGCCGACCGCGCCCGAAGAGCTTCGGAAGCCTCGGCCCCCGCAGCCGGGGTCGCCAGGGTCCGCGAGCGGCGGCGCTGGGGATTGTGGGAGCCGCCCACGGGGAAGAAGCGCGGGCCCGCCTCTCTCAGCCCTCAGACCCGCCTCCTACTAGTGCCCCAACTCTCCGAAAAACCTCTCCGGGGGGTGCAGAGCGAAAGCTCTCCGCCGGTCCTGGAACGCGTTCCGACTCCAGAGCCTCAGCCATTGAACTTCGGGTGTAAAACTAAAGCCGTCCCCACAGACAAGGCCTTCTTCAATGAGCTGACGGTCTCCCAAAAGGCCTGGAGTTGGCAAACAGTGAATATTTAACAACAAAGAAAAGGCCGGCCGGCAAGAATGCCTAGGGGAAAAATACCGAGGCTTTGCAGAAACAACGGCTAGTCCAGTCGTGTTGGCGTGATCAGCCACAGCCGGGAGGAAAAGACGAAGCCGTTTGAAATACTTAAGAGCCAACCTCTCGGAACGGAAAAGTGCACACATCCTACAACTCTAAGAGACTTGTCAACCTTCACACTTGCAAAGTCAGGACAAGGCTTTTCAGAGAAAAATAGTGGGAGTGGGCGAAGGACGACGGATCTGGAAGACAGAGCGTCTGAAGAACTATGGCTGGAGGTTCGCAACATTGTACAGGAGGCGGTGACCCAAGAAAGAGAAGGAACTCCACCAATCCTGAAAGATAGACCTGATCATTACTGGTCACTCAAGAATGAGTCTAAGTCATTACTTAAAATCTATAATTGCAATATGAGCTAAGATCAAACTTACTTCAACTTTTTAAAAACATGTTTCTAATTTCCAAAGGGCGGGGCTTCTAGTCCAGGGACCCGGAAACACTCCAGAACCCGAAGAAGCTGCTGGCTGGGATGCCGGTGCTTGGGTGGTCTGTATCTTAGAGGAGCTCAACCCCCTGAGACCACTCACAGAAGCGCTGTTTCATCCACACACCCTTCTTGGGGGAGCCTAGAGGCCGGACAAAACCCTGAAGATTGATGTTTCCCATAGGGGACAGTTTGGGCCGAGGATTCCATATGCAAAACAAAACTTTCAAAATCCTAGCAACCTGTTTTCCAGGGAGCACACTTCTTCTCTCCATACCCATCAGCCCCTCCTTTTTCTGATCCCGCTTTTCTTCCCTCTTTCCTGACATCTTCCTCATCCCTCACCACACACTTCTTTCTCCTTTTGCCTTTATTACAAAGAACTAACTCAAACCTTCAAAGTCTCACCACCATCATATACGTGCAAAAACAACTCCTTTCTAGCTTTTGCCAGTTTTGTTCAAGAAAGCTGGAGGCAAGGAAGCAAAAATCAAAATCCTTTAAAAGTCAAAAGCATTGCAAGAAATAAAAATAGGGAAAACTGTCGCCCAAATATTATGAGCAGCCTAAAGTTGTCCTTTTTTTTTTTTTTTTTTAATAGTTCATCTTGACTCTCCTCCAGAGGTCTGTTGCAGCAGGCAGAAGACTAGCAGTGTGGTAGGAGACGCAACAGAAGCCAGGGCTGGTTCATCAGGTGTTGGTTCATCACCAGGTGCTGGTTCATGTGCCCGTGGACAAGAGAGGACCTGCAGGTAGCTTCTTCCCGGAGGACTCAGCCCAGACAACTTCTCCACCTAAATGACTTAACACATGGCTGCCCCAAATGTCAACTTACTTGATTCCAACAGCAGTTCAAGATTTAGGCAGAAAAAGGATACACAACCAAAATGTGGTGAAATCTCGACATCCCCGAAGCCCCAGGTGCTCCTGAGCACCCGCCTCCTATGGATCTTATCAGTCTCTCCTCTCCCACTACTTCTTCCTCTCACACAGTTCATGTCACTAACTAATTATGACTTGGGCTTTTTTGGGGGGATGCACTACAGGGCATATGGAAGTTCCCTAATCAGGGATTGAACCCACGCCTCCTGCAAAGGAAACTCAGAATCTTAACCACAGGATCACCAAGGAAGTCCCTGGGCTCCTTTCTTTTCCTCCCCACTGTCTCTTCTGAGCAACATCTCCAACTTGAAGCAGATCCCTCACTGCATCGCCCCAGTCTTATTTTCCAGCTGCACTCAAGACATCACCATACCATCACCATCCTGTGAATACCTATTTTATGAATACTTAATTGCCAGGCAATATGTTCAACCCTTTGTAAGCACTGTATCATTTCAATCCTTGCAGGGTGAAATCAGCTTACTGATATGTAAAGAGGCTAAATCATACCTTCCCTGGTGGTCCAGTGGTTAGGATTTTGCCTTCCAATGCTGGGGGTGTGGGTTCGATCCTTGCTCAGACAGCTAAGATCCCACATGCCTCTCAGCCAAAAAAACCAAAACATAAAACAGAAGTAACAAATTCAAGACTTAAAAAATGGTCCACATCAAAAAAATCTTTAAAAAGAAAAGAGGCTAAATAAAGAAGGTGCCCAAGATCACAGAGTAAGGCACCAAGTGATCACAGATGCCACTCCCAAGTCTCCCCCAGCTCCAGAGTCAGCTGAGCACTTATCAAAGTGTATGCAAAGTTTTTTCATATATGCAAAATGTCTAAAACATGATCCTGCCCTCATACCATAAAAGTCACAACTTAAAAAGATGAGTAATTACCAGAGAGTAAGTATAACAATATTCATCCGTAAGAGATCATCAATCCAGTTACATGTAATGGATGATAATTTACCACACCCTGTATAAGCCTCTGGTGGTAAAAATAATCATTGCTAACATGTACATGTTGAACAAAACCAGGGCTTCACCACTAGAAATAAACTACGCAAACATGTAATGACAGACTAAACAGCATATTCACACGATGGAATACAACGAGAATGAGTGCTTTGCAAACATACACAACAATATTGATGAATGTCTCAATGTTAAGCAAGAAAAACTAGACACGAAAATATACAGGCTATGATCCCATTTATAGAAAGTATAAAAAACAGACAAAACTAATCTACTCTTAAGGAGTAGTGACCGGAGGGGAGCAAAAGGGGCTCTGTGGGTGCTTGTTCTATCTCTTGAGCTGGGTGTGGCTCCACAGGTATGTTCAGTTTATCTAAATCCATCAAGTTCTACAATTATTGTATGTGTCCTTTTGTATGTGGATATTATCCTTCACTTTTGAATGTTTTTATATATATATATATATATATATATTTATAGATATATGGTGAAACAGATCACCAGCCCAGGTTGGATGCATGAGACAAGTGCTCGGGCGTGGTGCACTGGGAAGACCCAGAGGGATCGGGTAGAGAGGGAGGCGGGAGGGGGGGATCGGGATGGGGAATACATGTAACTCCATGGCTGATTCGTGTCAGTGTATGACAAAAACCACTACAATATTGTGGAGTAATTAGCCTCCAACTAGTAGAAATAAATGAAAAAAAAAAAAAAGAAACACTAAAAAAAAATAAGTAATTAATGATCAAGGCAAGAAGCCTTTAATCACCCTTGAACATTGGCACTATGATTATGCTAGAGAGGCCAGTCATTCCTGGGCCCACCCCCACCACCTTCTCAGAGACACTAAACCCCATCCATCCATCTGTCTTCAGAAGCGTCACCTCCCCTCCAGCCCCAGCTGACTGGACCTGGAAACTTGACACAGTGAAGCTGAATTAGGTGATGAAGTGCTTCATTCAATAAACTACACAGATTTGGGGCAAAGAATTTCTGGACATATGCACAGTGATAAACCAAGAAAACTGGTCTGCAGAAAAAAGAGCCAACACAACACAAGGAAGCAAAACAAACCTGTGGGTGAAGGAGCGAGATGCCCCAGAGGCTGCTTACGCGCCAACTCTGGTACGCATACACCCCACCTGTCACTGGGTATCCCTAAGATTGCTCATGTAGCCTTGCTGCTTAGTCGCTTAGTCGCTCAGTCGTGTCCGACTCTTTCGGACCCCATGGACTGTAGCCCTCCAGGCTTCTCCGTCCATGAGATTTCCCAGGCAAGAATATTGGAGTGGGTAGCCATTTCCTTCTCCAGGGGATCTTCCCGACCCAGGGATGGAACCCACATCTGCTTTGGTTTCTTTACCACTGATCCACCTGCGAAGTCCCATGTAGCCCTGTGATTTTAAAAAAGAAAATCTTACTTATTTAAACTAATTTGAATAGGTTTCTGTTTGTGGCATGTATTATCTCATTTAGTTCCTGTAACAACCCTACACAGCAAGTGCCATTATGATTCCCATTCTCAGATGAACTAACTGAAGCCCAGAGAGGTTAAGCAACTTGCCCAAATCACACAGCTGGTAGGTTGTGTTGGCGGGATTTGGATCCAAGCAGTCTGATCCTGGAATCTGAAATCTTAACAAATCAACTGCATTTCAGTGAGAGAGAAATGCTGAAAATGTCAACATGAATTACATGTTGCGATTTAACTAAGGCATCTGATTTTAAATGGAGAAATGATAAAGAGGATTTAAAAACTGGCTGTCCAAAGAAGTTGGTAAGCTCTTATTTTTTTCACAAGGGAATTACAGTTTGAGTTATAGATGTCAGAGAAATATAAAATGCATATAACATGACAAATTATACTAAGCAAGACTGTGTTCTTATACCAGGATATTGTTTAAAAATTTCAGCAAAATGCTCTGTTAGCGGGTCCCCATTGATTACCTAGTTTTCCCAAAATGTTAATACCCAGGAGAAGGGGATTTTAGTCCTATGGAAATTAATGATTAAAGTAACTCCCTAAGAGGGAGGCAGACGCCAGTGGTCACTTCCCACGGTGATGGCCAGACTCACAATCCACTCAGCAAGGCTTCTAGATCAATCACAACCAAGCCATTGGTTGACCCCCAGCAACCTTCAAATGGCATGATTCAGGAATTACCAGTGAGTTTAAGTCAGATAAGAACTTGTTCTCTCTGTAATGCTTTGGCTTTAGAAGAAAGTGCTGACAACCACCACTCAAGATCTTTTCTATATATAAATGATTGAGCAGTTTTGTGGCTTATATTTAGAACAATGCATGACAATTTCTAGATTAGAGTCCCAAGGTTACTCTTCCCTTTGGTCCATCAATGCCAGAAAGACAAAAGGTCACCTTCTGAGGCTCCATGGATGGCATTCTTTAGCCTGCTAAATGGCTCAACCCAAAAGTCCTTGCTTTGATGTTACCTTTTAAAGGAGGCTGTTTTTTTGTTTTTTGTTTTTTTTTAATAATCTGGCAAAAGTAGGGATGGTTTGAGCAGTTTGTGGCTAATTTGTAGTAAGAACACTGAGTTAAACCGAGCTCCAAAACAAAGCACATATTATTATCAAAATGAGGATTTAATTCATTTCCTCACTACCTTGCAAGTGACTGTGAAAAATGTTTTGCTAATAAGAACCTACTAGATAGCACAAGGAACCCTACTCAGTACTCTGTAATAGTCTACGTGGGCAAAGAATCTATTGATTAAAAAGAAGAGTGGAAACATGTGTAACTGATTCATTTTGCTGCACACCTGGAACTAACTCAACACTGTAAATCAACTGTACTCCAATGAAAATTTTTAAAATATATAATAAAGTTGTGTACTAGTTTCACATCAGGAAACTTAGCCTGATGTGAAACTAGTTATCTACATAAGACAGCTAATCTGTAATGATCAATTAACATTCTAAAAATTAGCTATTGTCCAGACTTTCCTAGCAGTCCAATGGTTAAGATTCCATACTTCTGATGCAAGGGGCATGGGTTCGATCTCTGGTCCAGGAATGAACCACAGAGTAAAAACTCACAGGATCTCTGGTCCCACAAGCTGTATGGCCAAAGAGGAAACAAAAAAAAATAGCTACTGTCCTTCCAATTGGAGTAGGAAGTGGCAACATACTCCAGTATTCTTGCCTGGAAAATTCCATGGAGAGAGGAGCCTGGCAGGCTGCAGTCAGTGGGGTCACAAAGAGTCAGACACAACTGAGCAACTGGGCACACACACATGTCCCTCAAATATAACAGATCTGTCTTTAAGTTCCCTTCTTCCTTTTATTTTTTTCTTCTTTTTTTTTTGGCCATGTCATGAGGCCACACTGGGTCTTAGTTCCCCGACCAGGGATGAACCCCACACCCCATGCATTGGAAGCACAGGGTCTTAACCACTGGACCACCTGGGAAGCCCCCTCTCCTGCGAGTTTTTACTCTCTGCTCATGTTGTCAGCACAGTTTGCCAAGGTAATCACATTGAACATTCCGTACATCTCAAAATGTGATCAGAATTTCCTAAGCTTGCTACTGAAAGTTCCAAATAGTGCTACAGATGTTCCCAAAGGCTAATAAACAGGCCCCTAACACATGCTCTTTTAGGACAGTGAGTAATGAAAACAAGACCAGTTAACCATACCATGCCACAGCACATCATGAATGCCTAGTTGAAGAACCTAAGGTAATAAGGGCTACAAGCAGAAAAAAAGACAAGTCAGGCTGAACACTGATGGCTGAGTTCCAATGTCACGTTTGTAGGCAGCTCCATGACTCCAAGATGGTCCTAATACCAAAAGTTATCATTTCACAAAGATTCAAAAAATCAACTGCTCACTACTTCCATTTATAAATCCTTCCTGTAAACAAGGCATTCCAACTGAAAATTAGCCAAGTATCTTAGAAGTACTTAAAGAACATCAATTAACTTCTTACTTGACCAATCTGGCTGGAAAATCAAAATTGAAAGCGCAATTTCTGAATGTAATCTTGCTCAAAACTTTAAAAAAGGTAACTTTTAAATAACATATAAATTTAGGTATTAAAAAACAACAGCAGTTTCTGCCAACCAGAGTTTCAAAAGAAAAATGTGAAGATTTTAAACCAATTCATGAAGGTTTGCAACAAGATTTTATTAAAGAGAAATACTATTTTCCCAAATATTCCTAAATATGAATTCTCACACTAAATGGTAAGAACATGATGCTAGTGGACCCAGTCAAGCCCAGAACAAAATAATCATTGACCCCTTCCCCAACCCAAGCCTTCAGAAGCCTTGCAACTGCCATGCCACAGGTCAAAAATGGAGCCAAATGGAAGTGTGACCACAGGTCAACAAATATATCAATTCCGGAGGCCAAAGCGAACAACCAAAACTCAACTCTGAGTGTGTCAGATATTGCATCCTCTTGTTACAAAGGGATACCCATCATTACATTATGTAGGTTATAAAGAAAAGCCTATTTATAAAGTGAAGAGGTGATTATTTAGAAAAAGGATAGCTGACATAAGTGATGTAAATAATCCAAAAATACTTCAACCACATGTGAAATATGCTAAGTATGAAAATCCTTTAAAAGTTCAAATACTATATGCATTTGTATTATTTTTATGTACATTTAACTAGGTTGCAAAAATGCTCAATATTTCCTTATATTTCATATTTAATTAACTTAAATAATAAGTAAATATCAGTAGGAACACAAATTAGCAAAAAAACTCACAAAAACTGATAAATAATTGCCAATTCTGTGGCTTCCTTCCAGCTCAGAAGCACAATTTTATAAAATTGCTATCTCTGAACTATTTTTATTTCTTCTTTTTTCACTTACTTTGAATGGACTATATGCTTCCACATGATTCTCATAGTCATCTCTGAAGACATTCCATGACTGTCTCAATGGCTCCTGAATAACAGTTTGTAGATAGAATGGAGTTTTCATCAGACGACAGTTAAATGAGATAAGCAAAGGCAAGTTACTGAGTTTTTAGTAAAGCTAAATTTATTCAATTTACTTTATTGAATTTATTACACAATAATAATAATTATTATTACAGTTTCTTTGTCCTTTACTTTGAGATTGTGTCCTTTCCCTTTTCTTGTGTTAAAAGGTATCTTTATGGCATTTTAGTAATGGTAAATGGCAGTTTTTTATCTTCCTCATGTGACAAAATACTGAAACATAACCTATTTTGCCCCCCCACCATTACCAGTTATTTTATATTTTACTAGTCCAGTAAATCCAAAAGTCAATCAACTAAATACACTCCTTCATGAGATGAACCTATTTGCAGGGCAGAACAGAGACGCAGATGTAGAGAACGGATGTGTGGACGTGGAGTGGGCGGGAGGAGGGGATGGAATGAACTGGGAGCCTGGCCCTGACGTCTGTACAACTGCCATGTGTAAAACAGACAACCAGTGGGAAGCTGTTACAGCACCGGAAGCTCAGCTCCATGCTCTGTGATGACCTGGAGGGGTGGGATGGAGGGTGGCGGGAAGAAGGTTCAGGAGGGAGCGGGTGTACATGTGCACATATGGCTGATCCCCTTTGTTGTATGGCAGGAACAAACCACTGTAAAGCAATTACACCTCAATTTTAAAAATGAATTAAGCATGAGCCCATACAGACACACTCAAAAACATTTGTGGAACGACTCCTGTGGTAGCAGGCCTCCAAGATGTCCTCCGTGACCCCTGCCTCCTGGTATCCACCCCCTCGTGGGCCCCGCCCACACGGTACCAGGGATGCTCTGCATGACCAAGAGGACACAGGAGAAGTGATAGCGCATCACTACTGAGAGTGAGTCACACAAGGCTTTCCAGCTGTCACATGGTTGTGCTCACTCTTCCATCCCTCCCTCTGGAAGAGGCCAGCTGCCATGTCATGAGTAACGCGACAGAGAGGTCCTTGTGAGGGGAACTGAGGCTTTCTGCCCACAGCCAGGTGAGTGACACTGGGAGCAGACCCCCGAGCCCCAGTCAAGTCTTTGGGTGAGTGCAGCCTCATGGAAGACCCTGAGCCAGAACTGCCCAGCCAAGCAGCTGCTGAATTCCTGACCTACAGACACTGAGATATAATATATAGCTATGTATTACATGACCAAGTGTGAGGTAATGTGTTATGGAACAATCAGTAACTCATGCAACTCCTTTTTCGGCTGCAAGATGAACAGGTCTCTGACCCCAGCACAGTGCCACAACAGCTTAATGTGTATTCATATGGATGGTAGGAGAGAGGAAGGATTAGCGAGGTCTATGATGTCCATTATCCTGGCTTCAATTTGCTTACAGTGACTTCTTCCTTCTCTGTTGCTTTTTCTACTTCTCTCATGTTGACTAGAGTACTCAGTAAACTGAAAAATTCAGCTCTACCAAAGGAATCAGCTTTACAAGTCTGCAGGCTTTAGTTAAAGGAATCGGCCTACGTAAATATATTATTTTATAATATTTTAGAAATCTGGTTAATTTCTATTGACAGAATCCCTCATCGTGGCTGTTAGATCCTAACTCAGCCCATCCTTACCTCAGCAGAGGAGCATATCTCATATTCACAGAGAAGACGGAAGCAACAGACAGAATCTCTTTTATGAAACTGATGGTCTGCCCACTGCCCTAAGAAGGCAGATCAGACAGATTCGCTCCTAAACTCCCTCTTCCAACGTTTAAACCTATCTATAAATATTGGTGGGTGGCGTCACTGATTCAACGGACATGAGCTTGGGCAAACTCCAGGAGATGGTGAGGGACGGGGTGGCCTGGCGTGCTGCAGTCCATGGTGTCACGAAGAGTCAGACATGACTTGGAGACTGAACAACAACATAAACATTGGGGTGCAAAACTATTATTTTAGCAGTTGATGCTCTTAGCAGGCTCCTCTCAGGTACAGAAAATGCCTTATTGAGGAAAATACCTGATATGAACACTTGAAATATGAAAGAAGAAAGCTAGCCTTACAATAAAACTGAAACAAACAGATACCTAAACAAATTTACATTTGAAAAAAAGAGAGACCAATAAAATGAGGACTGAAAGAGCAAAGAGAAGATGAAATGGGGTGGGTGGGGTGGTAAAGAGAGATGAGGTTCAAACAACAATGTGGGAGGTTCAAGCTTAGGGAGAGAGCTCCAGGGATCGGGAAACTGAAAGTATGTTTAAAATAGAAATATCTATTATGGGACTTTACATTGTTGTGTTGCTAAGGATATAAAATCCCCTAAGCCCTCAGTAATACCTGACACATGCACAAATGCTTGTGTGAGTGATCTGGGGGAAAATCGGAGAAAAAAAGATCTGGGGTAGATCTGAGTTCTACAACTGGGTGAGCATGGAACCAGGGAATAAGAACATGGGAACTGAGGTGCAAGTGAGATGAAGAATTTGGGACTTTGCTGGTGGTCCTATCCTGTGGTTAAGACTCCCTGCTCTCAAAGCAGGGGGATCCAGTTTCCATCCCTAGTCAGGGAACTAGATTCCGCATGCCACAATGAAGATCAAAGAGAAATAAATAAATAAAATTTAGTGGAAGCAGAAATGCAAAAGCCAAACAAACCATAAGATCACCTCCCAGGAATTAACAGAGATCTTGGAGCAGGAACTAAACTCCCCAGTGGATACGGAATGGAGACAAGCCAATTTTACTTAAATCTCAAAAGAGAATGCTACTTCAGCTACATCTGGGTACATATCTGGCTCTTGACAAAGAGAAATCCCAAAGTAGGCACTCCGTTTTTTCAATGAGATCTAATATCTTTCCTTTAGACCTGGTTCCATCAACTATTCTCTCTTTGCTACATAAAGTCAGTATCATCCTCACCACAGGGATTTTCCTCTACTGCTTGTATACAGACTCAGGCTAAAGCACCATCATCTTGTAACACAGGCTTTGAACTCAGAAAAGTTGAGATTTTTGATCCTTATTCTATTATTGGTGGTATGCATCCATGCTAAATCGCTTCAGTCTTGTCTGACTCTTTGCGACCCTGTGGACTGTAGCCCACCAGATTCATCTGTCTATGGGATTCTCCAGGCAAGAATACTGGAGTGGATTGCCAGGCCTTCCTCCAGGGGATCTTCCCAACCCAGCAATCAAACGTGCATCTCTTATGTCTCCTACATTAGCAGGCAGGTTCTTTACCACTAATGCCACCTGGGAAGCCCATTGGTGGTATAACTTTGGGCATATCACTTAACCTCTCTGCATTCTCTCAGCTATAATTTCTTCATCAGTAAAAGGAAATAAGATAGTACCTACCTCCTAGGACTATAAGGATTATCCCGGATAATGAAAATAAATTGTTAGCCCAGCACCTGGCAAATAGTAAACCCTCATAATGTTAACTGCAATCATCATCCACCAAAATTCTTTTAGTTTTGGCTGCATGGGTCTTTGTTGCTATGCATGTGCTTTCTCTAGTGGCAGGGTGAGGGCTTCTCAATGGTTGCTTCTCTTGTTGGCAGCACGGGCTTCAGTAGTTGCAGCACGCAGGCTCAGTAGTTATGACTCCTGGGCTCTAGGCTGGAGGCTCGGTAGTTGAGGCTTGCAGGTTGCATGTGCAATCTTCCCAGACTAGGAATCCAGCCCATGTCCCCTGCATTGGCAGGCAGATTCTTAATCACTGGACCACCAGGAAAGTCCAACTAAAATCCTTAGAAGAATGATCGCTACTCTGTGTCCACTTCCTCTACCACCATCCACTCTTTGAACCCAAGAAGGCTCCAATCTACTAAAACTGTTCTCACAAAGGTAACTAGTGAGTTCCTTGGTTATTAATCCCAATGAATCTTTTCCTTTTGGAATCCTTTTGCAGAATACATGGTAGTCCTAGACACCTACTTTCTTGAAACGGTCCAATTTTAGCTCTCCCATCACTCCTTTCTTTCACTAGCTCTTCTTTCTTCACCACCCTGTAAGGGTTCACATGCTCAGAATCCTGCCCTCAGCCATGTTCTGGTCTTACTCAACACTCACTGAGCGAATGCAGTCAAAACTCCAGTAGCCACATCTCTGCTTCTAACCTAGACCTTTCTTCTGAGCTCTTGAGCCTAACTACTCTCTAGATACCTTGTCCCAGGGGTTTAAAAAACCAAGGCTTCAAAATCAAATTCATAGAACCTGTTAACAAAGCCATCATTTTCTCTATCTACTCCAATTCTTTCTCTTCCCTATAACCACTTCCATTATTAACATCAACTGTTATCTTTCCTGTCTCCCTTGCTTGCCCACTGTGTCCAACTGGCTATCAGAGCTTGATATTCAGAATCCTATCAGTCCTGCTCCATCCTTCATGATGCTGTGGTAGTTCAAAGTGGGCTTTAGAGTCACATGAGCCTGGGTTCAAATATTAACCATACCATAAGTTTACAATGACTGTTCTTGGCCAAGTTACTTAACGTCTCTGACCTCTGGGCTTTGTGATAGTTAAATGAGCTACCATATGCAAAATGGCCAGCACATAATTGGAATTCAACAAACATTCCCCTACATCCCCTTCCTTCAGGCCTTCATCACCATCTGGTCTAATGCAATGTCCACTTTGTTGCACTGCTTTACCCTTTCTCCTCCAAACTGCCCTGCAGTTAAATTCTCCAGAAATTAAATATGATGCTATCATCTCTTTGCTTTAATACCATCAACATTTCTTTTTTTCATAGGGAACAAAGTCCAACTGCCTTCCTTGTCCCTTCTCCCCCATCCTGGTTACTCTAAAATATTGACTCTTCACCAGCTACATCATACACACACTGGCTTATGTTTCTGACATGCTGATCCCTCTGGTTTTAATTCCCTTCCCACGCCCAAGTTGTTTTGTCTAACTGGAAAGCTTCTTCACTCCTCAAGAATTTTTTCAAAAAGCTACCACTTACATGACAACAAAAACTCAGGCAACCAAAGCAAAAACAAAC